CGGGGGGGGGGCATTGGTTAGCATCTAATTCTCTCCGTATATCCTGCTGTCACCTATGGCCTGTAGGGGGATGGCTGAAGATGGACCGTTCCTTCTTCCTCAAGAAGCGGCGGGCAGATTTTGTGGCTGGTTCTCTGAGTGGACGGGTCGTAGTGGCCGGAGGACTTGGTAAGGAGGCAGCTTCCAGGCTGGTACTGTGGTTCTGGTGCTTGGTGGATCCTTGGCACTCTGCACAAGCAGGAGAAGGTGCTGGCTCCTTGCACGCTGCCTGCTTACTGCTTTATTCCAGAGAATTCAAAACATCCCCTTCCTCCCAGCCTGGACTTCACATATCCACGCATGGGCCCCGGGTGTGGTCTTTCGGTCCTCTTACACAGGGGACACTGAGGCCCAGAGAACATAAGGGACATAGTAATAACCATGTAGCACAGGGGTGGTGAGCACAGATCCCTGGGGGCCCTCGCCAAGAATGATGGAGTCAAAAGCGTGGCAGGGATTGGCCTGGGTCCTCTCTCTGACCATCGTTTCTCTCTGGATAACCAGCTCCATCATGGATAGGAAAGCAATCTAATCAAATACGTTAGTCTACTGAATTCGGGATTTGCTGAATTACTCCTCCCAGAGATTAGTGGTATTTTGAAGGCGGGACCCCCACATCAACAGGGGAGAGAGATATACGGGCAGCAGGCTTCCAGGTACCCAGAGTTTGCTCATTGTGGACAGACTCCATCCACACATGAAAGGAACACAATGTAAACTAGACCACGTGGGCTGCTTTTTAGTAAAAAGCAGGAGGGAGGCAGTAGTGGTATCTAGAAACTTCTGGTAAAAGCAAGGGGTGGGGAAAGAAAGCTTACTCGGTGCAGAGATGAAAAGACAAAAGGTCAGAGGGGCGAAGTGGCTGTTTGACCAAAGCTGCTGGCCCAGGGCAGGGAAGGCGCAGTTCTGCAGCTGAGGAAGTTGAGGTCTAAGCCTCTGCTTGTGGGAGGGAGGGAAGTGGAGTGACTACAGGACATTGCTTGGTGACTGGACTCCTTCGTAAGGTTCCGTTCCTTTGGTGCTTTCAGGGAACCAACCAACTGTCCTGGAGACGGCAGAGGCGTTCCACCCAGGGAAGAACAAGTGGGAGGTCCTCCCAGCCATGCCCACGCCCCGCTGTGCCTGCTCCAGCATTGTCATCAAGAACTGTCTCCTGGCGGTGGGGGGTGTCAACCAGGGTCTGAGCGATGCAGTGGAAGCCCTGTGTGTCTCTGACTCCTAGCTGTCCCCTGGCCCAGCGCCTTTGCCCTGGACCGAATCACTCAACTCTTGATAAGAGGAATGGTCTTGTCAAAGCAGTTCGGGCTACTTCTCAGATGCCAGCTCCTGTCAGCAGCCAGCGGGTCCGGGCCCTGGGGCTGTAAGTGACCCCCCCTCCACATCCTAACCCTCCCAATCCTAGGAAACTGTAAGAAGTCCGGATGACTCCATCAGCCCCTGGTCAGAGCTCAACTGACCTCTAGGGGGAGTTCTCACTTATTGCTCAGGCAGAAAAGCACAGGAGTATCTGCTACCCCCACCTTTGTGAGTCCCACCTCTCCCCATCTTCAGAGTAGGAGTTAAGTAGGGCAGTTCTGACCCAGAGGATGAGCTGCTACCACTGTCCTTTCCCCAGCTCTCAACTCGTTTGAAGGTCTCTTGGGATGAAAAATGGAGAAGGATTGGGGGGAAGGGGATCCCAAGCGCCTCTTCTCTCCCTTGGTCTGCATCCTTTCCCCATTTGGTGGTCAAGTGTGGACCTCATCTACTCCACAAGAATTGGCCTTAGAGTTAGAGGCCGCTGAGCTGTAAGAGAAGCCATGGACTGCTCCAGGTCAGCAGCCTTGGCCAGGAAGGAGCCTTGATGGGAAGGTGATGCTGGGGGAGGAGCAGACTCCCAGCCCAGGCTCTGCTCCCATTCCTTTCCTCAGTCTGCGTCTTCTTCTACCACCCCTCCCCACCAGAGACCTTGGCCCCTTTGTCACCAGTAGCCCCAGAGTGTTTCTGTGTGAAACCTTCTCATTTACACTGTGGCACCAAAATCCACAAAGGATGGGTTAATTGCACTCTGGTTAACAGCAGCAGCACAATGATTAAAATCTATATTCCTATCTTCTCTAGCACCCTGGTACAGGGGTAGGGTGGACGTGTGTCTTGATGGGTAGAGGGGACCCCATGAAACAGTTCCTCTGACAGTTCTCAGGCTAAATAGGGCCCCAAGTGACCACCTACTCTTGGTGGTTCCCTCTGAGGAGGTTCCACTTTCAAACCAATCACCTCACTCCTAGTAAAACAGCATAGTTTCCTTCTCATAAGCATTGAGACTCCACGTATATGTTAAGAAAAGGTTGCATTCAGTAACTGGCTTCATCTCGTGCCTAGCCTCAATTCATTCAGCTAACGCTCACTTCTGACCCACAGTAGAAAGGGAATTGCTCACTGATTTAAAAACTTGAAGAACATGCTTCCTTTTAGCTTGTATAGCACCTCTTTCTGATTCCCACCGATTTTCAAAAGCTGTGCTAGCACCGGGGATACAAATATGAAAAAAAAGACCTGCCCAGGAGGGATCCCAGGGGAGTCAGATAACACTCACTATGCAATGACATGATTCTTTTTTACGAGGCAGAAACAGGAGGGAGCCCTGCCTGGATCTGGGGGCCAGGGGGAGCCTTCTAGAGGAGGTGACTCCTCGCTGAACCTTCATGGGCGAGTGGAACCTGGGTCTTTAAGGGATCGGGGTTTCTCTCCCTTTCTCTGGGACCTGGCCTTTTCCTCTCTGTGGGCCCTAGAAGAGCACTGCCCCCTGCTGGCCCAGCCTTGCCTTCCCACCCAGCTTAGAGGCATCCTGTGGCCTTGGGTGCCCCCTGGTGAGCTGACTGCAGAGAGGCCTTTTCCATTGATCCTGGACACTCCTATTTCAGCTCAGTCCCCTGAAGTAACTGCTAGAAAACTGCAGCTGGAAGAGCTGCAGGTCCTATGAAGATGGAACAGCACGTTAGTGGAAGCCGTTCCACAATCTAGCCCTGGTCTGGACTCCCCATTCCACTTCCATTTCTGCACTGCCCCCACTGCCCTTCCCAAGAGAGGTGTTTATAGGGGGGACCCCACCCTTTCCTACAGGAAGCCAAGCCTTGTGTGTGTGTTGTGGGTGGGGGTTCCCATGTGCACAAAATGGTACCAGATCCATGGATGAGACGAGGCATTTTTAAATGGTCAGAACCTTAGGGATACAGCCAGCCCTAAAAGGCTCTTCCTGTTGTTAGAATGGGGGATTAACTGCTGCAACCTGTGAAGGCTACTCAGGGCCGGAGCTGGTATCTGCTAAGGACTCACCTCTTGGAGGTCCATTCTGGGAAGACTTTGGGGGTGCTCACTGAGGAGCCGGGGAAATAGGGAATGTCAGTGACAAACCTCGTGGCTACCTCATGGTGCCATGGAGACAGCTCGATCTGGGGTCAGTGGTCTGGCCCCAGGACTCTCTCCCCTCCCCCACACAGGCTTGCCCATCGCTGTCCACTGTGGGAAGGCCCCGCCCCTTTCTTGTCTTCATTTCCCAGCCTGTAAAACCAGAGCCACAATGATGCCATCACACAAGGTGGTGAAGCGCCTGCTTCATTCTCAGATCAGCAATATGAGATAGGTTGTGTCATCCCATTTTGCAGTTGAGAAAACTAAGGCTGGAAGAGGTTATGTAACTTGTTCAAGGTCACAAGCTCCTAAGTGACCAGGTCGGATTGTAAAGCTTGTGACTGTCGCACTGCATTGCCTTAAATGAAATAGTACCTAAGAAAGTCAAGGAAATCAGCTATACTGTACGAGGTAAGGGGTTCCAAGTGTCAAACCTGGAAGGATGGAGACTTTGTGTCCCAAGGAATGAGTGTGAGGATTAGCAAGGAAAGACTGAGACGGGCTCCCTAACATGAATGGGCATAGACAATTCCTAAACTCATATCCCAGGAACGTTCCCTTCTGGCTTTTTCGTTCCATTGGCGATTCCAAAGCATCGTGGAACACTGAACGCCTATCGTGTGCGTGCCTCAGTGCTTAATTCCCACCCTTCAGCAGCTGCAGTCTTGGGAGGGAGACGGGACTGAACCTGCAGCTACTATTTGATGAGATAGTGTCAGCCTTTGCGAGTTCAACCCAGAGGCGCCTCACCCATGCATGGTGTCTGCAGGGAGCCCAGATGAACTGAGGGTGTCAAAGCAGAGTTCCAGAAAATAAATCTCAAACTGCGCTTTGAAAAAAAGATGGAGATCAGCCAGGCAGAGGAGGATAACCCCAGGCTTTGAGGCAAAGGAGGTGGGTTGAATCATGATTGTCATGTGCTAATTGATCTTGGATAGGTTGTTAACCGCTGAGTCTCAGTTCCCTTATTTGTCAGCTGGGCAAAACAAGGCCTCACTATGAGGTTAAAAGCTACTTACTCTGTGCAACGTGATTCACATACATTAGGTGAGTAGCTACATTGTTGTGTTTGTTGCTGTTGAAGGAGAAGTAGACTGGGGACAAGGGTTTGGTTTACTGGGAGACAGCATGCACATGGTAGAGATTCTAAGGAGACGGGGAGGAAAGTGCCGGCAGGCAGATCAACAGCGGCCTTACATGCGTGCCCTGCTAAGGAGTCGGGGCTTCATCCGTATGGGAAATTGGGAGCAAATTCAGGATTTTACGTGGATCAGATTTGTACCATTGGAACATGGAATATTTGGCGTTCCTCTTCTAAGGAAAACGAAGAACTAAATGAAATCACCAAGGCACCATGTAAGATGAGAAGTAACCCCAGGTGGGGTTGGAATCCTAACAAAAACACGCAGGCCAAGGTTTCTAGGCCTTCTCTAGAGGAGGGCCATCTGCTGAGCAATCAGTACCAGGGGGATTTGGGACCACAGAGTAGACAAGTTCCCCCACCCTCCCCTCCACTGCCTCATTTCCTCCAGAGTTTCTTTTTAATTGGGCATTTTCATTGGGCTTTCTAGCCCACCCACCTTGCACAGGAGGTGGGATGCGGTTGGCCTTTTCCATCCCCCATCTTACAGAAGACGAAACTGAAAACCAGGAATCGTGACTAATCCAGGCTGTGCCCACAGGTGTAGGGACCCCTCAGGCCCAGTTCACTGTCTCCAGAAAGTGGCCCACCCTGCCCCCCTTATCAGATGGATAAGAAAGAGGACTTTGGGGGCACCCAAGCTGTCATTCAACAGATAATGGGCCTTAGTCCTAATCCCAGTTTAGCAATTCACATTCTTAAAAACAAACACTTAAAAGGGGATAGTAATTTGAATGGGAAACAAATCCCTTTCCCAGGCTCCCCACTCCATGACCAATGTCCCCATCTATGGATGAAGGGAACTGGATTGGAGATGCCCTTCCAGCTATCCTGTGCTACCACACCTCTGGAAAGCCAGCTCAGCCCTGGGTGGTAAACATCTTCCTCATCTTCGCTCTTTGCACCCATATACCTCTCAGATTGGCCCCTGCTCTAGTCCCATGGCCACGTCCTTCGTTTAGATGCTCAACGTCTCGCATGAGGACAACTTCACAGCTCCCCAATGCAGTTCTGCCCTCTCAGTGCTCTCCTCCAACCCACCCTCCACATCGCTGCTAGATTCCTCCTGCCCTTTCAGAATCTTTCTCCTCTACAAATCTGACTCCATTGTCACGAGCTGACACACAGCCCTGAGCTCCCTCAGCTCCCCCAGCCCTCCAGCTGATTCCCAGCTTCTGTCTTGGCCTCTAAGGTCCCTTCCAGCCTCCCCTCCTTACCCCTACCTAGTGCTCCCTGTGGGGGACCATTGGGAGCCAGTAGTTCCACTGCTGTTCACCTCCCTGTCCAGCACAGCCTGGCCTCCCTGCGCAGAATGCCCCCTCCCTTGTGTAGCTGGTGAATGCAAACCACGGTCTCCCCACCTCATCCCCATACAGACAAAACATTTCAGGACCATGACGATATCATTGATCCTTGTAGGCGCAGAACACCCCAGTGCTAGGCATGCAGGGTCTAAATGTGTAACAAATAACCGAATGGAATAAACGAGTAGCAAACAACTGAATTGAATGAAAGTCAGAAATCAAAGAGCTTAGAGACAGCACCAATTTGAGAGTAACCTTTACAATGTCCCGTTTTCCTCTGAGCCCATCTATGGCCGTAGCTGGCACTAGGATCAGATCCAGGAAATCAGCTGTATTTCAAATCCCCCTGCTCAGGAATTGGCTTCCCTCTCCCTTTGCCTTGGGCTCTGACAGGAGTGATAGGTCAGCATTGGGCTTTTCATAAACTGTGGATGACAACCAGCCTATTAATCCAGGCTTATGATAACAGCCCCCAGCACCAGATTGTGCTAGCTTCATTCAGAGCCAAGAGAAATGCTAGCTCCCGTCTTCCCTTACCAAGGGCCAGGAGCCGGTGACCTGGCTAAAGAATGTGCTTTGCATGGGGTTTACATTCCAGGATCAACTTGGGAGGCCAAGGGCTCAGGTTGCCAGCGGGAGCCAGGCACAGGGCAGGGAGGTGGCACTGGGCAGACCCTCCCCACTCCCTGCTGGACATACCATGCCCTCCCATACCTGGTCCTCCCCGGACCTCCCTGAGTGCAGAATAGCAGCTGTGGAGGCAGAGCCAGGACGAAAGTGACACTCAGCCTCTTCAAAGGAGCAGCATTTAAATGGAGTATGAAGTACCAAACCCTGAGCCACAGTGCCCACCACCATAAACCCCTGGCCTCCGGAGCCTTTAACAGTTTACAAATAACCTTCCTGTTCAGGGTCTCCTTTGATCATTTAAGAACTGAAGGCTAGGGAGATTAAGTCACCTGCCCTCAGTCATGGGGCCAGCAAGGGGCAGAGCTAGCTATACAAACCCATCCTCTGACTTCCATTCTGAGGCTCATGTACCCCCTGCCTTATCTACATCAAGAGATTCTGTACCCCAGGATGTAACCTGAGGCCCCGACTTCACAGGGTCAGGGAAGGATCAATGCAATAGAGGGTGTGAAAGTGTTGACCCCTATAAAGATGGGGGGTTATTTTTCTTTAATTATACCCCACCTCAGACCATCAAGAATCTCAGATGACGTACAGCAACCACACGGTGGGGTCAGTTAGTGGAAAGTA